AAGAAGAATTTAGCATAAGGATTACTTTGAGCTGCCCTCACCTTTTCTGCCTGAAGCAGGCAGAAATTGCCCTTTGTAAAGGTGACCCTCCTCCCCTTCACCAGGAAGAAGAGATAACTCTTATCTCCGGAGACTTGAGTGTGTATAAACAAACCTGGCTAAATAACCTTTATCCTCCATTAGTTTCTCCTATGCATTTACCATCCCCCAATTTACTCCCCTTCAAAAGCCAAACCCTCTTTCCTTTATTTTGTCACTTTCCCACAATTTATTGACTTTTGTTAAAATGGTATCCAAGCTCTCAAGCTTAACCACTTCTTTGGGTTTTCACTTCTTTTCTGTAAATCTCCCTTGTGCTTGTGTAATAAACATTTTCTCTTGTTGATCTATCTTGTGTCCGTTTAATTAGCTACAGCCCCTGAAGCTAGCAGGGTAGAGGAAAAGTTTCCTTCTTCCCTTACAGTGCTAGTCTAGATCAATTACTTTATAAAGTTTTGAAAAATGATAGCATTATAATTCTGTGTAATTTCTTTTGCATTTATTAGCCCCAAATCGTTATGTAAAGAAAATTAATCGTTGACCCTGAGTTATAATTCATAGGAAAGATGCTGAGTTATAATTCATAGGAAAGATGGGGTAAATACCTGATTTGTTTCTTTCATTTCTCAGTTTTTAAAATGAGTTGGTTCCCAGCAGCCCTCAAAGGTAATCAATGAGTTTATCTTGTGTCATGGCCTCACAGCTCGCAGCAACCTCCAGCTCTTGGGCTTAGGGGATTCTCTTGCCTCAGCTTCCCTAATAGCTGGGACTACAGGTGCCTGCCACAATGCCTGTTGAGTTTTGGCCGGGCTGGGTTCAAACCTACCACCCTCGGTATATGGGGCCAGCACTCTACTCACTGAGCCACAGGCACTGCCCAAGTTTGTCTTGTTTTTTAAGCCCTAATATGTGCCAAACCCAAAAGTTACTTTCCCTAGTTTTCTTGCCCTTGTTCAAGAGTGTTTCCTCTCTTTTATTGATTTAAGCACAGCTTTCTAAGGTATCCAGCACTTTCTCCATGTGCATATCATAAGGATCAGGTGGATCATGAGCCCTTCCAATGCACCGCACTTAACATAATGCCTAAGGCAGTGCTTTCCAAACCTCCTCGTGCATATGAATCATCTGAAAGGTCTTGTCAAAATGCATATCCTGGTGCTTTAGCTCTGGGAAGGACTGAGATTCTGCATTTCTAAAATGTACCGAGTGAGCCTGATTCTGCTGGTCCACAGGGCACACTCTGAGTTGCAAAAGGATACAGAATATGTGAGAAATCTATTTCATTAATTCAATGAGTAGTACCTACTCTGGGGCAGGTTGGCCCTACTGCCTTAAAATGCAAAGGATTTTTTGTACTTTTGTTCATTTACTTTATTAGAGAGTTTGAAGCTTTAATTTCTTCTTTTAAATATGTAATATGCACATAGAAAAAAATGTTTTTCATAAAATCCAAAAAAGTGCACAGTGGAAGTACTCATTCCTCAAAGGTGATGACTGTTTGTTTGTTTGTTTGTTTAGAGACAGAGTCTTACCTTGTCACCCTCAGTAGAGTGCTGTGGCATCACAGCTCACAGCAACCTCCAACTCCTGGGCTTAGGCGATTCTCTTGCCCCAGCCTCCTGAGTAGCTGGGACTACAGGCGCCTGCCACAACACCCAGCTAAAAGGTGATGACTGTTACTTCTGAAGTTTTATTCCAGAGGTATTTTTTGCATATAAGAACTCATATTTGTACTGTATCTTTTTTTTTAACCATATGGCAACACAACAATTTTCCACTTTCTTTTTTTATTTTACTGTATCTCGGAGATTGTTCCTTATCTCGGCATGTATCTCGACATCCTGTTGGGTAGGTGGCACAATGTCCACACAAGCTGGATTGTTGTTTTTATAAAATACACAGTTAAGTGGCTTCCTCCTCATCCCACACCGGTCATTCCGCAGGGAGAACAGGTGTCCTGTCTTTCCTTCTTTGAATCCTCTGAATGACCTGACCCACATTTGTGCAATTTTGTCAATTGCCTATGAGCCAATCTACATCCATCACTCATTTATACAAGCACTTCTACATTTCATTTTCTCTTTTCTTTTCTTTTTTCGGATTCTGGTTTCCCTAGACTCCGGTTGTTTCTTTACTCTATATGCGTGTTCCCTCAGTACTCACAAGTTAGTCAGACATTCTCATGTTTTTATAGCATATTATTGTGAAATACAGCTTAGCTAAGTGTGTATAAAATACATGTTATTAAGGAAGAAGTGGAACATTATAGAAAAGTAGCCTCTGTCACCACCCTCACCCCCACATACCACTCTCCCATCACAGTCACCTCCACCTAAAACAAATTCCAAATTCGGAATTTTGGATTAGTCATTTGGTAACTTTATTTTTTTAATTGGCTCTGAAGATTGAGTGCATCAGACTCACCTAGAGAGCTTGCTGGAACAGAGTGCTGGGCCCCACCCCATTTCTGATACAGTTGCTCTGAATTTGCATTTCTTACAAGTTCCTGGATGATCCTGATCTTGTTGGTCCCGGCACCACACTTTAAGAACTACTGTTTTATCTCAGATCTTCTCTCACCCTTCACGTGATGACTTTAGTCCTCCTGGGATTTGTCTTCCCCTAAAGGCTTAGCCACTCAATAGCTGTCTCTTAGGGACCTGCTCCCCTTCTTCCTCTGCTCCATTTCCTGTCCCTCAGTCTGGGAGTACTCAATCTTTGCTAAGTATTTTACTTGATCGTGGCATTGGACCAGTGTCCATTATTTTCTTCTCTGTAGGTCATCTCATTTATGGATTTCCTCTCATTTGTGTGTATTATTGTTAAGTGATTAGAAATAAGACTATATATAGCATTTACCCATCTGACTCACCTAGTCTGTAAACTCCTTGAAAGAATGAACCAACTTCAATATCCCTATAGTCCATTTCCTCAATTTAGCTGAAGCCCACAGTTCGCAAACTCAGTCGCTTATAAAGCCAAGAGGCAGGGTGAGTAAGTGAAGCTTGCCAGGTGGAAATTTACCTGGAAGTCAAGTCCTAAGTGAAGAGGGGAGCTGCTACTTGAGGTTAAGCCAATTGCAGATCCTTTGTTCTCTTGTTTTCCCATTTTTCAAGAGAAACAAGAACTAATGCCAACTAATTCAGCATTTTAAGTACAGGGAGAAGGTCATACAGGCTACATCTGGTAGAAGCAAAATTGAATCTGGTCCATGTTTCAAGATCTTTGCAGTTAGTGCATGAGAGGATGGATGAATGGATGGGTGGGTGGGAAGTGAATCTGGGTCAGGGTCACTGTGGCAGCAATCTAGTTGAAACTGGAGGCGGGAGGGTGGCAACGTAATATTTACTATCTGCCTGGCCCTGTGCAAGGGGCTTTACGTACTTATCTCATTTGACCTTCATAACACTACCACAAGGTAGTTATTAGTCATTCTTGTTTAATTCCACACTCATTTTACAGATAAAGAAACAGAGGCTTAGAAAGGCCCAAGGTCACACTGCTGCTTTTCTTTATTTATAACCCACCTAATTATAACCCATATGATTTAAGTTGGGTCCTGAACCTTGGATTCCAGATAGCTCTTTCATATGAAATTTCCAGTGGGAGGATGCCAGTAGGTCAGGCAGCAAGTGTGATTTCTTGGGCATCTTACTAAGCGCCTCATAGCTTCATGCTGCTCAAGGATGGCAGCCGGTACTAAGGGTCTAAGACACAGGGGTCTCCTGCTGCCTTGGTGCGTCCTTCCTATTTCCTCCTATTGTCCTACTTACTCTCCTCTCAGATGTCATGATTTCTGCCTACCAACCTTAGAGTTCATTCTGTATCAGTTTCCTTTCTAGAACTTAGGAGGATAAAGATGGAGACACAGATACAGGAGCTGTTTGTGTGGAAAATATTTTATTGGAGTTACTGAGTCAGGAAAGCATTCTGGTAGGTTGAGAATGAGATCTCACACAAGCCCCCTCTTCCCATGGGGGTTAGCAGCGCTGTCTCTTGCAGGAGATGGTCACTGAGCATCAGGAGCTGCACTCCTCAATCCTTTCAGCTGGAGAGAGACAGGTCACGGTTAAATTGGGGATCCCCTGGGTGCTGGAGTCCCCATTAGGCAAGCCCAGTACAGGATGAGGTGCTGATGGAAAGGAATTTCTGCCCTGATGTACGTTCCCATTCTCTAAATTTTGTAGCTGAGATTTCCCTTTGCTTTGGTGAGGGGGGTTTTAACCTCCTTTTCACTCCTACCCTCCTCACAGATTTTCCCCTTCTTCCCTCACTCCCAACTTCTATACCCTCCTAATGCCCACCAGCTCTTACCTTGGGAAAAGCATCCCAGTTCAGGAAAGGAAGTTTCCTTTTGATAGACTAAAAAAAAAAAACCAGAGAGAATGAAAGTGAGTGTTGTAGCCCAAGTAAGCATGAATCACTCACTGAGTGAGCTCCCCTGGTGACAGTGACTTATGGTTCTATAATTACTGTGAGAGCTAATATTTCCCAAGGCCTTATACTGGGTCTGCCTTGTACTAACTGCTCTACAGGCATGACTTCACTTAACCTTTACAGCGGGCAACCCTTTGAGGTAGGTACTGCCACCATCCCCACATCACAAATGAGGCAACTGAGGCTCAGAGAACTGAAGACATTTGGATGCAGCCACTGCAGGGAAGAGAGGTGCAGGGTCGTCAGATCCAGGCTCTGTCCCAGCTCTGTCACTGACTTAGCCTTCTAAGTTTGGGTGGGCCTCAGTTTTTTCATAGAGGATGACTTTTTCTTTCATTGAGGATGAGAAATTCAAATAAAATCTTGACTAAGTTCCTCCTGTTCTAGAATTGTCTTTGTGGCCCTGTTTTCCACTGCCTTCTAAGGAAAACAGGGTACAGCCAAGACAGCCTCCCCAGGAAGCTTTCTTTGGCTGATAACACACCGGGCAGCATCCGGGCAGGGCAGTTAACCTCTCCTAGAATTCAGGAATAGACCAAGAGGGTAAAGTGCAGAATGTGCAGCCACTAGGCGGGAAAGACCGCACGGAGAGTAAGGGGCGCATGCGCACGGAGAGTAAGGGGCGCATGCGCACGGACAGTAAGGAGCACATGCGCACGCGCACTCACCTCAAAGAGCGCATGCCAGTTCAGGAACTCCTCAGGCTTAAAAGCCTGTGGAGAAAGAGAGAGACCAGAAGCGGGTCAGAGGGCAAGACGGAGCTCAGCCCCTGGCCCTCTGGATAAGGTGACGGGACTGTGGCAGCTCCGCAAGCCCTCTCTACCCGGGCATTAATCTCCTCCGTAACCTGGACATTCACGGAGAAGGCACTAGGAGACTTGTACTTACAGATCGCAACTTGTCAACATTCAGGAACTGAGAGTTGAGGCCCTAGGCAAAAAAACAAGGTGTTAAGAAAGTCGTAAAGGAGCAGGAAGACAGAGGGGACCGGCTGGTGGCTGGAGTGTGGGGAAACAGATGGCTCACCTCGGATTCCGCTGCGTAATTTTCGATGTTGGTTTCTTCCTGGAAAGTGAGAGGGAGAATAGGAGGCGAATGGTCACAAGATGGCAAGTCCCCCTCACCCCCAACAGTCCCTCCCGGCCAGCCCTGACTTTGTCCATGGGACAATGTCTGAGAGAATACAGTCCATCCTCCACCATGGGGCACTCCACATCTCGGAGTGTCAACCTACTCTGTCCCAGGCCAGCACATGCTTGGCAGATGAGCAAGGTGAGGAGGAGGTGTGGAGAAAGGCAGGTGTAAGACGCAAGTTCAGTACCCAGGCCTGCATCCGTAGGGGCAGCAGTTGGAAAAGTTATGGGGAAGAGGACTTCTCCCCAGGAAATCCAGCTAGCGTTGTTCCGCAGTTGACTTAATTCCAAGTGTAGTTGAGCCAGGGTTGTTCCAAAGACACCCATGCCTGGCACTTACAGCTGGATGGGGAAGGTTCCCATGCAGAAGGGAGCTGCGCTGCTGGGGCCACCGGGCTGTGATTGAGGTTGCTTTGTGCCTTTTCTGCCACCAGGGTTGGAGTCTCCCTTTCCCTCCTCCATTTGGTGACTCCCCCAGACCACAGCAGGTCCTATCTTGTCAGCTTCCTTATTCCTTCTTTCCCCCAACAGAGGTCACCAACACCAGGCCACAGCCTAGACCCAAAGGTTTAGATCTCAGAGCAATTTGGTTCGTTCGCTTTTGAATTTTGAATTACTTGAATTCATAAATACAGTTTCTCCTGAAAATTTTAAGACTGAATCCTGGGCACAATTTCCCCCTCTGCTGCAGTCAGATGGAGTGAAAACTGCACCCCTGTTAGATTGGGCACATTTGTCCTGCTCCACCTGAGGCCCCAGCAGCCCCTGGTTCACTGACACCACTAGCCTGGACCCTCAGCAGTTGAATCTGTGACCCTTGTCTTATTTTAAATCCAGAATGGACATCAGTATTCCTCTCTGGCTGGGGAGTGGATCATAAGGATTCTGAGTCATAAGATTAGGCTGAACTTGGGTGGTGCCTGTGGCGCCGGCCCCATATACCAAGGGTGGCAGGTTCAAACCTGGCCCTGGCCAAACTGGAAAAAAAAAAAAAAGCCAAACCCAGATGACCCACATTAGCCGCTGCCTCCTCCCTAGATTCAGTAAACTAACTCCAGGTCTCAGAACTGAATCCATCTGGGATGAAGCTTCCCTGACTTGTCCCACAACTTGATGCTTGTCCATCCCTTCCAGAAACATACGCTTCTCTATTCCTTAATGTCTTCTAAGGGATGCTCTGTTCCCTTCCTTCCCTTCCTAAGAGCTACATTTTAGTCAGCTCCTGCCAATATCCCAAAATAAAAGCCACTTATCCAGCAATGGATAGAAGGTAAAGAAATTGAGGGGTGAGTGGGTAATAGGTATAAGAAAAAAACAAAAACAAAACCACAGAGGCTGTGCTCACCTCAGAACTCCCCAGGGCAGCCCCCTGGGCAGAGTGGAGCGCCAGGACGGAGAGAAGAGCCACAGCGGGAAGCACTGGGATCTTCATGGTGTCAAGTTTGGGGTGCTCTGAGGCGGGGCCTCCCTGCTTGCTCTTTATATTCCCCAGCAGAGGTGAATAGAATTGGGGTCCCCACCCCACTGACTCACCCCAGATCCTGTCGCCCACCCCTGGGGCTCTGGGAGGGGAGGCATGGACTGTTCCCCATCTACCTTGGATTTCTCAATTCAGATTCCGCCCCAGGCGCTTGGGAGGTGAGACTGCACTGGTCTCTTCCTGCGAATGGGGCTGGGATGCAGACAGGTTGGACCTGTCCCACCCAGGGGTTGGCAGTGGCACTCAGGCAACTTCTCCTTTTGTCTTTGTCTCTTTCCTTACATCCCTCATCCTCATATTTCAGGCTTTTTTTTTTCCTGCCAAATTCTGTCTAAACTCCCTACACTGCCATTGAAGTTCTTCTATGCTCTGGACTCAACGTGTCTTTTTAACTTTTGAAATTTTCATCTTTTACTACCTTTGTGCATACCTCACACTCTAAATTCCTCACCAAATATTTCCTTCTTTCTTCCTCCTCCAAGCCTCTAGCCATGCTGTTTCTTATTTCTAACATGTCCTACTCTCCACTCCACTTTTCAGACCCAGTCCACCTTGGATGAAGCTTCCCTGACTCATCCCATCATCCTCAACACCCCCCCCCACACACACACACATCTCCTCTCTCAGAATTGCCCTCTCCACTCATTTGTATCTCTCTCATTTGTACCTAAAGTAACTTACATTATTGTCTTTTTTCCCTTTTAGAATATTAAATTCCTTTAGGTCAGGAACTTTATCTTAACTCTGTATCTCCCATCACCGTGCCTTACGGTGAATGCAGGTGAAGTCAACATTTTATTAGATTGGATGTGTCCAAATTAGTATTCAAGCATCCTCCTGTCACTTTTTTCCCTTGGGGCTGGACCCCTCCCATGATCCAGCTTCCCATACATTACTCGTGAGTCTGCAGAGAGATAGTTACTCGTGAGTCCGCAGAGAGATACCGTCCTGAGCTGAGAAGACAGGGAATAGTGAAGCACAGAAAAGCAAAGAGCAGGTCTTAGAGATACCCGGCTGAAGCTGGGATCTGGGCATCCTGAACTCGGAGTGCCCACTCTGTTTCATGGAGCATACCCCACTCCACCCCCAGCTTGGGAGTCGGATCACCCCAAAGTGATTAAGACAAAACATCTTAATCAAGCAACCTTCTCCACAATGAAGTTCAGGTTGTCCAACTGGTTCCTGGTGTAATAGGGAGGTGCTGGGACACGAATTGGTGCTGCTAGGGCATAGCAAGACCTTATCTATGAGTGGGCCTCTTCACCCTGACCTGATGCAATGGACATTGACAGCAGGCCTAGGGTGGGAGGGCCAGTGTCACTCACGAGCAATCTCCGTGAACCCAGAAGTGCAGTCCTGACATGGCCTCCACACCCCATTCCCAGACACCCTGCTCCTCTTTAGCCTCAGGAAGCCTCCCCTGATTCTATAATGGCAGCTTCCCCTTTGCAGAGCTGCTGAGGCGACAGTGACGGAGGAACACTTGCCTAGCACAGATGACCTGTGGCATGGATGTCACCACGGGTTGGTGCTACTGGAGGGGATGAGTTAGAGAATGAATGAGGTGGGTGGAGCTCCTCCCAAAAGGTTTTCTGGAGGACACAAGTTTGTATGTGTAATGAATTCTTACTAATTAATGAACAGTGACTGAAAAGGCTCATTGGCCACCATTCTGTCAACATAGGGTCAACTCCAGGAGTGGACAGAATGAAGAATCAGACAAAAAAGCTGTTGCTGTACAGTCAGCTACGGACAGACATGCTGATGGAGGGTTCCATTCCGGTTTTGCCAAGGGTAAGCCGAAGCTCCCGACGATCTGAACAACAGCTTCTTTTTGGCTCTAGAACCCAGTCTGTGGTTGTTCTATGGCAACAAATTGACCTCCCTATGTTTTCCTCTCCACCTAAAGGTGCTAATAATAATGTTAGCCAATTTATTGAGGGATTAGTATGTGGCAGGCCTAGTGCTGAGGCTCTGAATATGTGATCTCATTGAAATGTCACAGTGATTCTGTGAGGTGGGAACTATAATTATCCACCTTCTTTAGACAGGGGAATCACAGCATTTGGAGGTCAAATAACTTAACCCAGGTCACACATCCAGTGTGTGACAGGGCCAGAATTAGAACCCAAGGCTTCCAAATCCTGAACCTGAATTTCCCCCTCTGCTATACTGTGGAGTAGTGTCCTACTAGGAGAGTGGGCCAGGCCGTGTTCAGTCCCCTCTACCCCCTTTCCCAGGTGTCCTTTGTGCTGTACAGCCTGCACAGCCATAGGTGACAGCTCTGAGCATTTGTACATTGATTTCAATGAGTTAAACTGTACATTCTTGGGCAGAATGAAAACAGAGAACTAAGAGGCTAACAGCAGTCCATGAGTGTGTGCCCCCTGAGCTTGTAATTGCCTCAGTTTCCAGATGCCCCTAAGAGTATGAGCATCTCGACACATCAAGTATGTGTTTAAACAATAGTGTTCTAGTTCTGCTTCTCGTGTTTGCAATTCTAGTGTTTAAAGATAGAGACTTTGGGCCGAGTGTGGTGGCTCCTGCCTGTAATCCTAGCACTCCGGGAGGCCAAGGCAGATAGATCATCTGAGCTCAGAAGCTCCAGATGAGCAAAAATGAGACCCCATTTCTACTAAAATGAGAAAAACTAGGTGGGCATTGTGGCTGGCACCTATCGTCGCAGCTACTTGGAAGGCTGAGGCAAGAGGATCACTTGAGCCCAGGAGTTGTAGGTTGCTGTGAGCTATGATGATGCCATAGCACTCCACCCAGGGTGACTCTGTCTCAAAAATAAAAATTAAAATTAAAAAAATAAATAAAGATAGGCACTTTTTATCTAATGCCTCCAAACACAAGCCAGCTACTTCATGTGCTCAACCAAAGAAATTCTGTTCCTATGGTGAAGAGAAAACTGGCCATTTTGGACTTAGGATTCGTTTCCATTGGCACCTTTCTGATCGATATATATATATATATTTTTTTTTTTTTTTTTGAGACAGAATCTCACTATGTCACCCTCATAGAGTGCCATGGCGTCACAGCTCATGGCTACCTCAAACTCTTGGGCTTAAGCGATTCTCTTGACTCCGCCTCCCAAGTAGCTGGGACTACAGGCACCTGCCACATGCCCAGCTATTTTTTGTTGTTGTTGTAGTTGTCACTGTTGTTTAGAAGGCCCAGGCCAGTGCATGTGGCTGGTGCCCTAACTATTGAGCTATGGTGCCAAGCCAAGATTTTTCTTTTCTTTTTTTTTTTTTTTTGTTGCAGTTTGGCTGGGGCTGGGTTTGAACCCACCACCCTCAGTATATGGGGCTGGCCCCCTACCCACTGAGCCATAGGCGCCACCCAAGCTGAGATTTTTCTAAAGTAATTCTGTCTTTACATGATTTTGCTGTGAGTGCTAGCTTTAGATCTGGTATCTTCCTCCACTCCTCCGCTCTCCCCCATCTACACATCCTCAGTGAGTTTGTGTTCCCTGAGTGTCCAGGGGCAGGGAGGGGTAGAAGGGTTCTCATCCGGAGAGGGTTCCAGCAGTCTGGATGATAGGTGGCAGAAAAACCCACCCAGGATTCAGGTCAGCTTTGAAGGAATCATGGGGATTAGTGGAGTCAGGCAGAGTCACAGAGTCTGACTCTGCAGCACCTTGTCTCCAGATCTGGTTGTTTTCCTAGTTCCCTCTTGGAGAATACCAGTAAACCCCTATTTTCCCACAGGCCTGCCCCCACCCCACCCCAGATCTGCCAGAACTTGAGCAGAGTGTGGGTAGGAGGTGAGGCCCAGCCCTGATTGCTATAATATGTTACAAGACACACCTAGGGGCTGGGAGCCAGCCTCCTGAGTTTAAGAAGGGAATGAGGGATCTGAAGGGCTCAGACACTGGGTCCTTGGGGCCCTGGTGAGCATCTAGGTGAAAGCCCTGGGAGCCTTGGAGAGAAAGGGGTCTGGGGAGTAGAGCACAAGGAGCAGAACCCAGGGCATCCCCCTCCCATCCCTCCCTCCCTCTGCCCATGTTATCACCACACCCAAGCAGCCTCATCGACCAGCAGGTCTGGTTCTTCCTTGGCCACCCACTCTGTGTGTCTTCTGCTTAAACTTATTCCAGGAAGACTTCCTGGGTTGGTGGATAGGTCCCTCTTACTTCCAATGGCTTTTTTCATTCACTGATTGATAAGTATTTGTTGAGAGGCCACTTTTGGCCCTTGGTGCTGAGAATTCAAGATGCACAAAGTACTGCCCTATGGAGCATTGGAGAAGGCAGAGGGCAATCTAACAAACATAAATAAGCAAGGAAGATAACTTCAGAGAATGGCAGGTGCTGTGAAGAAAAGAAGGATGTGCTGATGATGGAGCATCCTTGGTTAAGAAGACCTGGGAGGGACATTTGAGTGTAGACCTGAAGCAGACAAAGCACAGACCTTCTTAAGTCCTTGGGACCCAAGGGCAGGTGACAACATTTGTGTTGCCTGAAGGGCCTTTGCCAGCCCGTGAGGATGACTCTGGGGAGGGAAATCGTAGCCAGACCACCCATGAAAGGGTAGGGACTTTATTCCAGAGCTACAAAAGTTTGCTCTGAGCAGGGAATCCTCCATGACTGTTGTGGGACAATGCAGTATAAGGAAACAGAATGAAAGCCGGGACTTGAGGTCACCAGAGAGGCCCCAGCAGGAGACATGGGCAGCCTGCAGTTTACCAGAGGTTCCCTGATGCCAGAGGACCTTAGCAGGCTTCAGGGGTTTCTTTAAACTTGAAAGACCTGCTTTCAGCCCTTCGAACCAGGAAGGCTCCAAGAACCCAAAACCATATTGACCACATCAGCTTCTCCCTCAGTCCTCAGGCTTGAGGAGACCCAAGTTCCCAGCTCTTTCCCATCCCTCGCCCACGCTCCAGGAAGCGCTAGTCAGCCGGGAGCCCTGCGGAGCCATCGGCGCCTCTGGGACAGCCCCGAGTTCGCCACCCTGCGGCCGCGGGAGGTACTGCAAGGCCCTCCGTGTGGGGTGGGGCCCTGGCCGAGGGATAGGGACCGCATCAGTCCGTGAGAAGGGGAGGCAGAGCAGAGGAGCGGGCCTGGCTCTTTCCCCCAGTCAGCTGTTTTGATGAAGTTGGCTTCTCAGGGGCAGTTTAGGGCCTGGCATCCTTCACCTCCTATTTGAGACCCTGTGCCAGTTTGAGACTGTGCCAGCCCCTTTGTCTCGTCTAGGGACAGAGCAATGAGCAAGGCAGCCAGGGGCCGTTGCAGATGGGCAGAAGTCACTGAGGCCAGCAGGATGCTTCACATCCTCCTTATAACTTCTTGGTCGTCTACAGGGATGTGGGCGTGGGGGGTGGGGGAGGGACACAGCAGGAGGGGGACTCCTTAATTTGGGCACACTGTAGTGGCTTGATTGGACTTAGAGACTCCAACTGCAGACTCCAGCTGAGTCCCAAGGGCACTCCAGCCTGGGATGAGCCTGGCCAGCCTACACCTAGAGCCTCTGCCTGTTTCTCTGGCACAGTGAAGGGGCGGATGGTTCCTGCCTTCCTCCTTCCACACCTGGGAATGCAGAGCCCCTGCTATGACAAGGTACTGGGTCTGACCCAGTTCCCCCAACTTCCTAAGAGTGTCAGCCCCTCTTACCCCCACTTCGATCTATTTACATGACAAGGCACAGTCCCTCTGAGCCTCATGCTCCCACTTGCTGCCCTCTCCCCTGCCCCCTGGGACTGGTCTCCCCACTTTGAACAACGTCTTTACTCTCATTTCCTCATCTGAACAGTCCCAATGTGGCTGTTTCAGGCTAACCAACACACCTGTGACCGCTTCAAGTATGCAGTATGTGTGACATGCAGATGTAGGTTGAGCAAAGATTTTCTACAGATGGGGAAACTGAAGCAAAGTGCCATCAGCTGGCTGCTTCTTGTCTAGAATAAAACCCAGGTCTTTTCTCTCTCAGCCCACATTTTTTTACCACTCTCAGGAGGAAGATCAATTCTCTGTCCCTAAACCACCCTTCCATCCTCTCAGATCCAGGCCATCCATGTAGTATTAAAGAATAAAGTCTGAGGAGTCCTAGGGAAACAAGGTCAGTGAGATCCATGTTTTATTTTCACAAAGAAAGTCAGAACTAGAAGTTCCTTCTGAACTGTCACAGTGACTTTGGGTCTCAAGACCGAGTGGGCAGAAAGTGGCTGCTTTATCTGGAGGCTGGTGGTCACTGGAACAACCGCAACAGAGTGGGAAGAAATGACAGACAAACCAGGTCCCCAGTGCAGAAAGTGGAGGTGTCGGCACCCAGCGCGGCTGGCACAGGGTGGGAGGGCTGCGGGAGGAGCACGCAGTCAGGCTCCTGACAACCAGCGTTTTCTGGGTCTCAGTAGTGACTGGAAATAATTTTCTAGAAGAAAGGAAATCAAGTCATAGAAGGTGGCTACTCCTTAATCTGCTGAAAGTGAGTGTGCTTTCCCCCAGGCACCGGGCTCCTCTTTCTCCGCTGCCCTGCCTGGTCACCTGCATTGCCCCTCACCTTTGCTTCTACCAAAACAGACTCTGTGATTCTGCCAAGCTAATCTATGACCTCTTCCCCACTGGAGCCTCACTTTGTACGGCCCTGAACCTTTCCACTAGACAGGCTTACCTCTCTCCATTTCTCCTGTACAATCTCTATCCGGTTCCCTAGACCTAGAACGCCACCTTCTCTCAGAGCATGCCTGTGTGGTCCCACCTGTTCAGCCCTTCACTCTGAACTCACAGAGTGTTTCCAAGTGTCATTTACTCTTGCTCCACACCCGACAGCGGGGTCTCCTCCTCCTTATTACCTGTGGCATATCCACCCAGCGCAACCCTGACTTCCTGATGCTGCTGACTGAGGTCTGAGGAAATGCCAGGATCCTGGCCCTGCCCCAAAGGATGGCAACACCACAGCTCCTGGGATGCGGCCTGTGTCACTCACTCTGACACTCACCTACCAGAACTTCATCCAGTGCAGCAGGCTGGGTTGCACCCGGGAAGCCTGCGGGACAAGGAGAATGCCTGAGTGGACATGGCACTGTCCCTCCATGCCCTCTGTCCTCAGGCCCCTTCTTTCCCCAGCCAGATTGCCTCGGCCCCCACACTCACCGAGGAAGAAGGCGGCGTCACTCCTCCCTGGAAAGAGAAGATCAGAGGAGGTGATGTGGGGCTACCATGGCCTCACAAACGGCCTGGTGACAAGGGCAGGCTCAAAGCAGGATTATTGCCAAGGTCCTGCAGTCTGACTGTGGACATTTCAATTTATGGAATTTGTTGCACAGCAGACTTATTCTTCTAAGTGCATTTTATCCAAGATGCTATTGAATGTGGTCTCTGAGCACACACTGATCAAGAGAAGATAGGGTATCCCTTCTGCCCGCTCCGGTGACTGGCAAAGCAGTTGCCCACCAGTAGATTTAACTGCATCCCCACCGCCTTTCAGTCAGTTCAGAGTTTCTGATCTCTCAGGAGAAGGTCTTCTCCCCAAGGGCAGGGCTTTCTTAGTCTGAGTGATGGATAGAAATATCCTGCCTACTTTTTCTTTGCCAGCTTAATTAGTATTTAGTGTTTTCATTTACTGACATTATAAGATTGTTCTCTTTGCAACTGAACAAAACAAAATTCTCAAGTATTTGTTTCCATTTATTTCCATTGTGGCATGAAGCTTTCATTTCCCCACCAAGCAAGCATTCCCAGGGGGGCCTTCCCTAAGTCCTCAGTGGCCTGCTTACCTCTCCCCACCCCCACCTGCCAAGAACAGATCAGCACAGAGCAAACGCTGCCGAGAAGGGTTGCTCGTGTGTTGTCTTGTGTCCTGTGATTTTTTAGAGGGTATTGGAACCCAGCACTCTCTATTATCTATGGTGGTAGCCTCTGCTCCCTTTCCACGTGAGCGTGAAGAGCGCTGAACCCTCCGGTCCTCCACTTCCAGGCTGTTCTCTTGGAACCTTGAGTCTCCCTTACACAGACAGGGGGAGGCCTGACTTTCAAAATATGGAGGATTCAGCCTCAGTCAACCAAGCAGGGGGCTCTGGCTGTAAAAACCTCTCTCCCACCTGTGGAGGCCCCAGGGGGAAAATGGGGCAGGTGCACCTCTTACCTTAGCAGGGGTCTTGGGTGGGTACTGCCAATTATAGGGAGTAGGATATACCTGCTGGCCATAAACGTGGTTCTGAGGGGGAAAAAGAGAGGGGAGGGGGCCATGGGAGGAAGGAAGAGAGGGTGAAGTCATTTGCTCTGGAAAAGCTCGCTGCTTTCCTGCCCTGACTGGGCCTTTCGTGAATCCCCTGCCTTCACTCCTACTTGTATCATATGTTTGTCTGTCTTCCTTCCTTCCTTCCTTCTTTCCTTCCTTCCCTTCCTTTCTCTTTTTTTTTTTTTTGAGACAGAGCCTCAAGCTGTCCCCCTGGGCAGAGTGCCGTGGCATTACAGCTCACAGCAACCTCCAACCCCTGGGCTCAAGCGAGTCTCCTGCCTCTGCCTCCCAAGTAGCTGGGACCACAGGCGCCCGCCACAACGCCAGGCTATTTTTTGGTTGCAGCCATCATTGTTGTTTGGCGGGTCCGGGCTGGGGATTCGAACCCGCCACCTTAGGTGTACGTGGCTGGCGCCTTAGCCGGTTGAGCTATAGGCGCTGAGCCCTTCCCTTCCTTTCTTTCCCTTTTTTTCTCTTTCCTTCCCTTCCCCTCCCCTCCCTTCTCTTCCCTTCCTTTTCCCTTCCCCCTCTCCTTTCTTTCTTCCTTCCTTCCTTTTTTCCCTTCCCTTCCCTTCCCTTCCTCTCCCCTCCCTTCTCTTCCCTTCCTTTCCCTTTTCCCTTTCCCCTTCTCCTTCCTTCCTCCCTTTCTTCCTTTTTAAATTGTATTACAGAGGGGTTTACTATGTTGCCCAAACTTGTCTCAAACTCTTGGCGTCAAGAGATCCTCCTGCTTCAGCCTCCAAGGAACGGGGACTGCAAGCACGAGCCACTGCACCCATGTGTTTTCTTTTATACAGTCTCCTCCAGCCGGCCAGAACCTGATCCCCACCTCACTTTATTGTCCTAGCCCACACAGCCGCCTCCTCCTTCCCTTGGTACTTCTCCCAACTCTCAAGTGTTACTTGGGAGGTAAGGGTAGGAAAGCAAGGAAAGAAGGACCAGGAGCTAAACCAGATGGTAGTCAAGTGGCAAACATCTTACCTTAGAAACTGCTGCATCTTGCCTTTCTCCGCCTGGCTGAGAAAACTATTGAATGGGGGAGGGAAAGACAATATCAGATTGGCCGACCCAGGAACAAGGCTGAGAAGGGACCAAGGGCCTTCCAGGGAAGTTGCAGGGCAGAGACTCACCTGATCGGCACCACCCGCCCTCTTCTGCAGTGATGGGTCTGCACCCTGAAAGGGAGAAAGGAGCCAGTTACGTCTCGTTGGTTCAGCCCATGCAGACTCCCCCAGCTCCAGCATCCGCTGCCTGGAGGAGGCCTCTCCTCCAGGTGGAGCAGGGGTGTCTCCCCCAACCCATGCTCACCTCTGCCCATGATAAGTGCTGCCTGCAAAAAGACAGCCCAGGGAAAACTGATGCCCCAGACAGATAGAGGACACAGATTTCCACACTCAGGGCTGGGGAGCCAGGGCAGAGAACCTGGTTTGGCAACACCACCCCACCCACCCATGCACCTGGAGGGCTGGCAGCTCTGGCCTAAGACTGATCTAGAACAACAAGTGAGTTGAAGCCACGCAGGCTCCCTGGGCAGACCCAAGCACCTCAGCCCAGCCCAAAGCCTCTGGTCCCCTCATAGGCCCTTTACTCCCTGTAGAAAACACCATGCTCCACAGGGGACTTGGGAGGAGGAGCTGTTATCAGAAGCTAAGGGATCAGGTCAGCTCTGGGTTAAAGGAAGGAAAGAAAGGGGATTACCACAAGAAAGCAGATGAAGCCACTCCAGGCACCCCACATACACACCAGCACCCCTCCCCCAGAGCAAGGAGAGAAATTCTAAGCATTTGGGAAAAGGTTTAGTTCAGGCTATCACACCTTCTCCCCACACTCATACACTAAGCATTAAGTCCTAACTCTGACTTAACGCTCTGCCTTACCCACACCTGACACTGAATCTAAACGCTCCATTAGCCCTAATACTCGTTATCTGGAGGCCTCCAGAGATTTTTTGCTTGGCGTGCTTATTTTTCTTTTTTTTTTTTTTGAGACAAAGTCTCACTCTTTTGCCCAGGCTAGAGTGCCTTGGTGTCAGCCTAGCTCACAGCAAACTCAAACTCCTGGGCTCAAGTGATCCTCCTGCCTCAGCCTCCCGAGAGGCTGGGACTACAAGTGCCTGCCACAATGCTCAGCTAATTTTTTCCTGCTTTTAGTAGAGATGGGGTCTCATTCTTGCTCAGGATGCTCTCCAATGCCTGAGCTCAAAGAATCCACCTGCCTCAGCCTCCCAGAGTGCTAGGATTATAGGTGTGAGCCACCACGCTCAGCCTTGGTCTTTCAAAAAATTAAATTAGTTATGAACAATTAAAAATTAGACTTCTAATTTTTCTTGAAAAGTCATACAGTGTAGCCACATTGGTCCTACATGTATGTGTGATAACACTCAGCTGGAGCCCTTGACCTCCAACTTTGCATGGCTCCACCTGTCCAGCCTCATGGACTTGGCACGTGCGGACATATGAGTGGACAGCCCTTGCCTCACTGCCCAAGGGTCTGGTTTCCCAAAGGCCACTGGCCATGCAGAATCTGGGGGTGACCCTGTGCACAAGCCTGTACTTAACCCTGACCTGATCCCCCATACACATACTGCCCTCCAGTTACCTTTCAGCTTTCCTCACTAGTGTCCCCTTCTAGTGCCAGGGGTTGACCCCAGCCCAGATCCCTCCCTCTGGTCTCCTTCCACCTGCTCACCCTGCAGTACCCACCCAGCTGTGGCTCTCCTCGAGCCAGACCAAGCCCAGCAGAAGTGTCAGCAGAGCAGAGGCAGTGACCAGCTTCATGTCTCTACACCTGTGGAGGCCTCAGCACTCCGGCCTCAGCTTTTATGGGAGGACCTCCCACCTACTCCTCAGTGACTCACAGCTTCCTTCTCCCACCCCACCCACTCTTAAGGTTACATAAAGCCAGGAGAGTGGGAAGGGAGGGAGGCACCATCCTCAGCAGGGAGGGCAAGAAACTAGGACACAAACCTGGGCTAGCCACTCGCCGAGGGCCCTGAGCCTGGTGTCCCAGTGTTGAGAGTTCTTACTGCAAAATGAGATGTCCTGCCCCTCCTTACCTCAGTAATTGCCTTCCAGTTGAAGAAAGGAGTGTTGCTTTTGAATTCCTGGAGAGAGAAGGAGAGCTGAGTGGGCCCAGGGGAGTGCAGAACTCAGAGTGGTATGTGACAGCACTTTGGGGAGGTTCCCAGATCTCAAGAAGAAACGGGCTTGAGAGTCTGGGTGTGGATTAGGGTTGGAGGGAGAATTTGAGATGGTGTTGGCGATAGACATGGATGAGATACCTGTCTCAAAAATGGAAAGGGGGGAATTTTGAGACAGGTAAATGCCTTGAGAGAGGCATGGGGAGAGGCAGCACAACCAAGACCCCCAGTTCTTCAAAAGAGAATTCTCCTACCTCCCAGAGTCGGTGGAAGTAGAGGCGGGCTCGAGTGCTGGGGGGCGGGATTTTGCTCTGCAGAGGAAAGTTGGGAGCAGGTTAGCAGGGGAACCTGACCCACTCACCTGGCCCTCCTCCTGCTGCTGTCACCTCTCAGCCTCCAGAATTCCCTGTGACTAAGTTGGGGCAGGGGTGGGAGAGCTGAAATTCTTGAGGGACCCTGGAAAACTTTTTGGAAACAGGAGAGAGAAGCAGGATCTCCGGAGCTTTAATGAGCCCTCTTGTCCCCTGCACACCCCGGGCTCTCTTAACCCTTTCTGCCCTCACCATAGCAAAATCTCAGGATTAGGACCTGTCCCAGCTTCCCCTTGCCCACCTGCCATGCAGCCTCGAGCCATTTCCCAAAGCTGTGGGGTTGAAGCCACCTCCGCCAGCCCCTTACCACCCCCTTCACCCCCTGGAACCACAGTGCAGCCATAAGAAAGGAGCAGAGACCAGGAGTGTGGGGCAGCTACAGTTTATTTCAAGGGCAGGAGTTGAGATTAGTGATGAGATAGATAGTGGTGTTTTAAGAAGGGAGAAGGGGGCTCCCGTCCATCTGGTAGCTCCTTGTCTGGAGGTCACGGGATACCAGCGCTTCTCTGGCCCTGGGCAAAGAAATAGGTTCTAAGAGGGAGCTTGGGGGATAGAAATTCAGGGGAGTAACGGGCCAGGCCAAGGGGTCCTGGGGGTAGAAAGGGCCTCTGCTCCAGGAATCTGCAGGGACATTTTTGCCCCACCATTGTCATCCATTACAAATCTGGATGTCTCAGGTTGGGCTAGAGAACCCCCTACCTCTCCAGGAATACTACACAGAATCCTCCTCTGCTCAGCCCTTGCTCTGGCTGTGGTCCTCTGCTCCTTCACCCCCACTGTAGAGAACTGGATTCCATTCTCTTCTCTGCCTTCCTCTTTCCTGCCCCTCTGTCTAGGAGATCTGTCCCTGAGGGAGCTAGCCCACATGAATCCTGCTCCCAATAGCCATCACTCCCCTTACTGCTCCCTAGAGGGGCGGAAACATTTCCATCTGTCCTGGCTATCTAGGAAAGGTCTGGGCTTGGTTCTCCCGCCAGACCCCAAGGTCCCCAAGGCCAAGTTAAGAGTCTTGTCCCTACCAAAAACTGTTCTCTATAAGGCAGAAAACATATTTTGTTTGTTCAAACCAGAAACCCACCCACAACAGCTGAAAATGTCTCTTGCCTTTTTCCCCTCCCCTTCTCATTCCCCAAGGTCACATTTTGCTTTTCCTGAGTGCAAGTTTTCTGAAGACAGGGATCCATGTCTTCATTCTTTTACATTGAAGGTCAGAAAGTCCATTGCTCACAGGGGTCAGTCAGGTGGCTGAAACCACCATGTCCAGCAGGGTGTTTTGGCCACCCTGTCACTGCCCCAGCAGAGGGCCCAGTGTTGCCACCCATTTCAAGAGAAGCCAAATATCCCAATCATTATGTGAAGTCTCTCAGTTGTTTAAACTTTGGTAACTAATTCCCCATTAAAAAATGGGGAAGGGAATGGTTTAAGACACATCAGTGAGTCACAAATTGCACAATTTGGTTTTTGAATTGTTTATCTGCCCTTTGTCCCCTCCCTTCTTATCCTGCCCCCTCCATTTTGAGGATGCCTCTGGTATTCTAGTGTCCAATCAGCCTGGCCAGAGGTGCCCCTTCAAGAGGCAGGGGGGAAGCGGGCATGGTGGCTCACACCTGTAACCCTTGCACTCTGGGAAGCCAAGGCAGGAGAATTGCTTGAGTTCAGGAGTTTGAGACCAGCCTGAGCAAGAGCAAGCCCCCATCTCTACTAAAAATAGAAAAACAAGCTAGGCATTGTGGTGGGCACCCAGCTACTCAGGAGGCCTAGGCAAGAGGATAGCTTGAGCTCAAGGGTTTGAGGTTGGGCTTGGTGCCGTAGCTCAGTGGTTAGGGCACTGGCCACATACACCGAGGCTGGCGGGTTTGAACCCAGTCCCGGCCAGCTAAGCAACAATGACAACTGCAACAAAAAATAGCTGGGCATTGTGGCAGGCACCTATAATCCCAACTACTTGGGAGGCTGAGGCAAGAGAATCACTTAAGCCCCAAGAGTGTGAGATTGCTGTGAGCTGTCACACCATGGTACTGAGTTTGAGGATGCTGTGTGCTGTCACACCACGGTACTCTACCCAGGATGACAGAGTGAGACTCTGTCTCAAAAAAAAAAAAAAAAAAGCAGGGGAAAGAGAGGGTGTTTAGGGCCGACTAACTGTCCTCTAAACTTGTGGATGTGCAGAGCCCAGACTAACACTTATCATCCGTCAGGCACTTGGCCAAAGTGCTTCCTTTCCCTTCTCTCTCTGGTGTCGGTCATCATGTGGCCTTTTAGGTCCACCTGACTCCTCATTCAGGCTGCCCCTGGGATTAGGCCTGCTTACTCTCCCCCTCCACTTCCAGGTCTTCAGTGCGAAACGGAGGCTCAGAACCTGCTCGCATCTCTGTGCTGAAGCAGTAAAGAGACCCACTCCCTGCATGCTCAGCCCCCACCTGTTTCCACATTCGCCCTCTCTTTTCAGGTCTCTGCTGTCCTTCCTTCCCAGTTTGTTTTGTTGATTTTGGTTTTGTTTTTAACAGTGGCCTACATACTTTTTTAGAGCCCATCACTTCTCTAGTTCACCACACAAAGATTTTCCTTTCTTCTCTGTGTCCCTCTCCCCCAGAGATCAAGACTGCACGGCCTCTCAGCCCTTACCTTGTCTATGGCATCCCAGTTAATGAAACCCAGCTTGGATTTAAAATTCTGCAGAGAGAAAAAAGAAAGGGAGAATGGCCAAATTGGGTCATAATGTCATTGGCTCAGAGCTTCAGGCCAGGAGAGGTCAAGAACCACTGCTGACTGTTGGTTTAGAAAGAGGACTTTAGGCCAGGTGTGGTGGCTCACGGTTAGGTGGATGGATTGCCTGAGCTCAGGAGTTCAAGACCAGCCTGAGCAAGAGCGAGACCCTGTCTGTACTAAAAACAGAAAAACGAGCTGGGCGTAGTAGCACACACCTGTAACCCTAGCTTACTCAGGAGGCTGAGGGAAGAGGATTGCTCAAGCCCAAGAGTTCGAAGTTGCTGTGAGCTATGATGCCACAGCACTCTACCCAGGGCAACAATGTGAGACTCAGTCTCAAAAAAAAAATAGAAAGAGGACTTTAGCCTCTTTCTATGGCAAGGGACAGGGGTAGGTTTTCCAAACTGGAGTGAGCACCTCTATCTCGCAAACCTCACCTTCCAGAAACTCTCGAAGTTGAAGAGCCCAGGAGCCATCTCAGAGTTCTAAGGAACCAACAAGAAATAGATGAGATTGAGAAGACACTTTGTGAACGTGGGGCAGGAGATCTGAGTGTCAGGAGGGGAGGCGAGGATCGTCAATGCCATGGGCCCAGCTCCAGCCGGAGTATTGCCTTCACTCACCACGGTGTTGACTCCACTGACAGTGTCACCTCTTCCACTGCCCCCGTGGAACCCTTGCCCCTGGGTGGGGAAAAGGGGAACTAATGTTCCAGGCTTGTGCATCTTATGGGGCATGCCACTTGTCAACTTGCCCCTGCCCACCCCTCACCACCTTTGCTCAAGCTCCCTGCACTCCTCTCTGTAATGCCACCTTCTCTGCTTTGCACAGAGCCTAAAAATCCCCCCCTCAGGAAGCCTTACATGACTTGCTACCATGTAACCCTACCCAGTCCCTTGAATCATATTCATACTCTTGTGTCTGCCTTTCCTGTCCCCAAAACACCACTAGTAATGAAAGTAATTAATGTCTAGTCCCCCTACACCTGGGCCCTGGGCCTTGTTCTCCTGTGTTCCTGTGTAGAACCCGGAAACTGAACTCAGTGGTGTCCGGCAGCCTCTCAGGATCCGCCTCCACTGTGGCTCTGCACCACCCTGGTGTGGTTATGGCACAGAAAACTCACCAGAAACTGTGGGCAGTGCAGGCTTCCCTGTCCCCACTTTATCCCGGGAAGCCAAGGCCCAGAGAGGTTAATGGAATTGCTTGAAGACACACAGCTGACGTGTGACAGAGCTGGCATCAGAACCCTCACGTTCTAACTCAAAGCTCGGTGACTCTCGACTTCCCAACCCTGTCTTAGTCAGTATGGTTTTCAAACTGTCCCCTCGACCTTTTATTTTTCCTCTCACAAAGGCAACACGGCTCTGATGCCAATTGGAAGGAGGGAAGGAATGAATTAATCAGGGAGGGGGAAGTGGATCCCATGCCCCCATTGGGTTCCTGTGGGTCACCGACACAGATTCAAAGCAGCTTACAAGAAGAAACTGCTACGTCTTTTCCCAGGCTGTTGGCACCCTCCACCACCCCTCCTGAAGCCAGCCCTGCCTGCATGAGGCTTACCTGTTGACTGCTTTGGGAGCCCCCAAGAAGGTGACCACTCTCTCTGCTTAATCCCTAGGGAGACAGAAAATGGAGAGGAGTCAGTGGGAGGCAGGCAGGGGGGTGGGGGGGTGGTGAGAGGTCAGGATAGCAGGGTGCAGGGGAGGGACTCCTGAATCAGGCATGAGCACGGCAGAGGACTTCCCTGACCTGGAGAAAGAGGTCTTTCTCTCAGGGTAGCTCCGTCCTTACTGGCAGGTCTTGTTTAGCCTCCTGGAGCTGGAGTCACTGCTCAGTTATGATGTTTCTAGATAACATCACCCTCTCCATTTATATCCATTTCTGCGAGTTTGCAAGATTGCTCAAAATTCAGCCAGAAGTGCCTTTGCCAGGAAAGTATCTGAAATTTCCCCTGGTTTTGAAGCAGAAGTGAGCCGGCTGTTGGAATAAATTGATTCAAACTGAAGGACCCCATCGGTTTGAATCCATCCATCCTTTAGGACAGATGTTTGGCATTGGCCAGAAAGGCTATGCTTGCTGGCAGCCGATGGGAGTTGAGGTGGCACGGGTGACTGGCCAGTCTCCTACGTGAGAAGTAGGCTCCTCCTGATCCTGCTTTCATTACAGGGTGTGAAGCATGAGATTCTCAAACCCATCAGCTCTTCCTTACTCCCAGAGCTGCCGGTAGACCAGGCTGGGGTGGAGGACCATGTGCCCTGCTAGTATTGCTACCCCAGAGTTGACCTCCATCCCACTTACTACTGGTACAGTTTCTATTCCCAAGGCCTGTCGTCCTCTTACCCTGTGCCTCCCTATGCTCCTCTGCCCCTGAGAGATTATACAGCAAAATAAAAGATCTCTGTTTTAGACCCTGAGGCCTCCCACAGTAATGTATTGATTTAATATGATTCCTCTAACAATCCTAAAGAAATTCTGTTTAAGAACTTGTTAGAATAACTTTGAAATTCATTCAGAAGAACGAAGGTCTAAGAATAAGTAAGAAAATGCTGGAAAGACAAGTGGCACAGGAGGGCTTGCCCTGACAGATGTAGAGCTACCATAAATAAAGCAGTATGGTCTCAGCCCCAGAACAGATGAATCAGTTTAACAAAATAGAGCTCCCAGAAGCTCTCCTCAAACATTAAGTTATTTACAAATGGCCTTTTTTTATTTTTTATTTTTTAGAAAGAGCCTCACTCTGTCACACTGGCTAGAGTGTGTGGTATTGTAGTTCACACAACCTCAGTCTCTTGGGCTCAAGTGATCCTCTTGCCTCAGCCTCCCAATTTAGGCACCCACAACCATTCCCAGCTAATTTTGCTGTTTTTAGTAGAGACAGGGTCTCACTCTTGTTCAGCCTGGTCTCAAACTTGTGAACTCAGGCAATCCACCTACTTCAGCCTCCCAGAGTGCTAGGATTACAGGCGTGAGCCACGAGGCTCCACCTACAAATGGCATTTTAAATCAATGGTGAAAGTGATTTAGTCCATGGAACTGGGAATATCAGTCACATATTTGGAGGAAATTATACCTCTGTTTTTAACTAATTTCCCCTCACAAAGGAACATATAGCTCTGGTGCAAAGTACAGGATTCGGGGCGGGGGGGGGGACACTAGACAGTATACACCAAAATTAAGTCCAGATAGAGTAAAAGTGAAAAAATGAAATTATAGACGTATTCATAGCACTAGAAGAAAATAAGGACCTTTAAAGCAATACACCAGGAACAGAAACTAGAGGGCAAAAAACTTACATGTTTAAGCACTTTCAAACTAAAAGTTTGGTATATAAAAAACTAGAAATAGACTTATGAACTGGGAGAAATTTTCTTAAACCCTGTATACCTATAAAATGTCAGTCCAATAAATGAAGGGCTCTTCAGAGAGCCATGTCAGCTTAGCCCCACTGCCCTCTTCTCCCATCTGGCCTGGCCCCTGGTTCTGTGGGTCTCACTCCCGCCAAGGCCAGGACCAGCAGTGTCCGCCTCACCCAGGTGCTTCTTAGCGATGCCCAATCTCGGCCCCACCCCACACCTGCTGAATCAACCTGCACTTTCACAAGACAGCGGTGATTCACGTGGATGTGAGATTAACTCTAATTCTGTCAGCACCACGGGTGTTGACATAAGCCCAGGTTTCCAGAATAACTGAGAGAATTATACTTTCCAAACACTTCTCTCTGCCAGGGTTCATAGAAATCTGTTGCCTGGCTGGGTAAATTACATTCGAAATGATTACGTTTCTAAAAGGACGGGGGTTTCTTTGAGGCCACCTGTGCTATAAAGTATAGTATGACATGTAAGGATTTGCTATGAATTATTAGTTTGGAGCTTGTTACTATTTTTAGGACTCCGAGTTTGGTTTCTTTTGCCTTTTAAATTGTCAGTTCCTCGGGGCGGAGCTGGATGGGGCTGATTTGTGAGGATTGGGCACGGCCTGTGATGACCTGAGTCACCAGCGCTTTGGTTCTCACCTGACCCCCGGAGCCTCCAGACATGCGGACTCCATTCCCTGGGTTCTCACACTGTGGGAGAGAAAGACTTACAGACACCAATTCCTGCCCATGAATGGCAGATTCCACCGCAGCAGCACTGCGGCCCCCTTCCAAGAGCAGCCATCGCTCCCCGATCCCGCCAGCGGCCTCTACCCCTCTCCCGCCTCTCGCCACACTCGGAGGGAGATCTGTGCCCCTGCGCGCTCACCAGCCACTCACCTCGGGTTTATGTCCACCACCGCTTCCGCTGCTGCCGCCGCTGGAGGAAGAGCCGGTATTGGATCCCTGCAAGAGAAGAGTTTGCAGAGTTCATTGCAAAGGGGTCTCTAGTTCCCAGCGCGATGATGGATTTGTTTCAACTCCTGATCGGTTTCAACCTCTCTCAGGCTTCCATGGCTTCCCGGTCCTTAGCTAGTTGGTGACTGTGGGAAGTTAGTCTGAGCCCCGAAGGCCAAGTATAGCCGAGGGCATTTGGAGATATGCGATGATTTGGGGAATCTGAAGTTTTGCCGGCTACTCCCACCCCTCTGGAGCCAGCCGCGCACAGGCGAAGCAATCCTGCCACCAGGGGGCGAGATGCGGCAAGGACCCCTGGAGTCCTCACCTGGGAGCTGGAGTGGCTGCTTTGATCAAAATAATTAGAATTTTCAAAGGGTTGGTCCTAGATGTGGGCGAAAGGAGGGTAGCACAAGGAGCAGTAAATTAAAGCAGCTTAGGGAATTTGGCTGGTAATTACTCAGCCTCCTCTTTTTTGGGACCTTTCCCAGGCCCTCAAGGAAGCCACTCGTGGCTCCCTCTCTGCAGCCCCCTGTCTGAAGCTCTGCCCCATGGCGGCTGCCGGGGCTGGCTTCCCTCCTGGCCCCCTCACCCATCGCGTAGGGGCCTCTTACGCTGGGCAGCTATTGGTTTTGTCTACACCACAGTTCTGTACGCATCTTTAAGTCTCCACACATATAATCCTGTCCCCCTTCTCTTGGGAGTTACCCAAACAAGTGTCCTATTTTCCTATGTCCACTTCCTCTCTTCCCTCTACCACTTCCAGCTCTGCTCAGACCCGTCAAGTGGACGTGATTGCAGGAATAGCGCTCAGACAGGCAGAACCTCCACCATGGCCGAGCGGAGGATAAGGGACAAGGTAAGCAGAAGTGGCCAATCACCTCTTGTGAAAAACTGTAACTTGCGTGTGAGGAGCAGGGCTTGGTTAGGAAGGTGGGAAACAGAGGCTCCAGGAGCCCCAGGGTGACAACTAGCAGTGAGGCCACCCACCCCACCCCGTGGGGGGGGGCAACGGCAGCTTTGAGGGAAAACTTGGGGCCCATCTCCTCAGCAGGGACCACCAGGGGCAGGTACAGAACTCACCCAGTTGGTCCCAGAACTGCCATCACTGTTGCCACCACGGCCACTGTTGCTGCCTGACTGTGAGCCACTGCTGCCTGACTGTGAGCCACTGCTGCCTGACTGTGAGCCGCTGCTTCCCTGAGAGCAAGGAAGTGACCAGAGCTGGGATTAAAGGCAGGAACCCAGGACTGCTTCCCTGCTTCTCTTCCTCTCCTGCCCAGGGCCACATGCTCAGGCTGCCCCTGCCCACTTACCCCAGAGTTGCTAGAGCTTCCTCCTGAGCCAGATGGTGGGGGGTTGGTGCACTGCAGACAGACAGGTGATTTCAGTGACAGCATCTCCAAGAGCCTGGCTTCCTGCCCCAGAAATTGTCTCTCCCTCCTCCCCCGCACTCTCCTCTCCTCTTCTTTGCTGCCTCCCCAGGCCCATCTCTTCCTGGCCCATATTCCTTTCAGCCCAGGCATTCCCCTCCTTTCCTCTTATTCTTCCCCACTTCCTGTCACAGGCACCCAGGCACCTCTTTGCATCCCCAGACGCATCCTCTTACCCCGGTATTTTGGCTGCTGCCTCTCACCGAATCATAACCAGGCTGGGCCACAGATCCCTGCAGTGGGGTAGGGGCATTGAGACTGAGTGTGGGATTCGGAAGGAATTGCAGGGAAGGAGGGACAGGGCAGAGATCAGGGCTGTGGTGGTGACTTTACCTGAACATTGGCCCCAGTGTTTGGTGGCAATCCATTGCCTCCTGGACCCCCAAAGCCTCCCTGAGTTCCAAAGCTGCCTGATGAGCTTCCAGGGAATCCATGGCCCCAGGGAGTGCCTGCACCTCCGACATTGCCTATGCCATGGCCTCCAGATGTTCCCTGCAAGGACAACAGACCTGCACTTAGTATGTCCATCTCCGACTCTGATGGGGGAGAAAAGGCAAAGTAGGCATAAGACCAAGAGGGACCAGAGCACAGCAGAGAGATGCAGAGAGACGGCTGGCAGAGGAAGGGCCATAACGCAGAAGGAAACTGCCCCAGGCAGCTGCGAATAAGAGATCTATTTATCCTTCCTAAGACTCTCACCTGCTGCCCTCAGCTTCCCTTTTCCACCCTCAGCTTCCTGGCCACTCACCCAAGCACCATTGCTGCCGGGCATCCCCTGCCAGGAGCCATGGGCAGCATCTGCTCCATGTTGAAGGGCATTCTCAACCTGTCTGGCAGCCTCTCTTCCACCATTCCCAAGACTATGGGCTGCTTCCCCGATCTTATTGCCCAAAGCGTCTGTGGCCTCCCTGGCTGCAGAACCGGCTGCTTCTCTGAACCCTTGGCCAGCAGCACTACTGGCTGCCCCTCCTGCCTCGTGGCCAAGGGCCTGCCCAAGGCCCTGGCTAAGGGCATCACCTACTCCATGTCCAACGGCCTCCCCAACATTTATTCCAGCACCCCCTTGTAGTGGGCCAGCCTTCCCGCTGCCCAGGCACAGGGCCAGCAGGAGGCAGGGTAGGGAGCCCAGTAATTTCATCTCTGCCCAGCTTCTCCTCTCTCTCCTGAGTGCCTTCTTCCCCCCCCCAAGTCTACTTCTTGTTGCCCTTTCTCTTCCTCTGTGTGCCCTCCTCTCTTCCTTCTCCCTCTGACTTCTCGTCCTTCCTTCCCTCTGGGTATGCAGCCTTCTCTCTCCTTTCCCAGACTCCCCTGCCTTCCCAGAGTCCTCCTCCCTGCCCCTACTCTTTATAAGGTAGGTTGGAAGAAGAGGACAGGGCTGGGCAGCCCTGGGTCCCTCCCCACAGTGACTCAGGGCCAGGCCACCGATAGGGTAATGAGCTGTAATTGTGAGCCTGAGAGGCTGTGTCGAAACAGAGAGGGAGCCTGAGCATCAGGGAGGGAGGGAGAGCGGGGTGAAACGATGCAAAACCATTCCAGTTTCCCAACCCCAGGAATTTGGGGCACAGGGTGGTGGCAGGGGCATCTCAGGAGATAGGTTGATGGAGTCTTCTGGAGGTGGTGGGGTGGGGTGGGGGCTTGGGAGGGAGGAATCACAGGCAGGACCCCACCAGCGCAGCAAGGAAAGGGAAGCCCAGCAGGACAGGACCCACCCTAGGTGTCACCCAGCCTGGCTCAGGGGCACCAGCATGATGGCAGGTGCCTGCCCCTTCTTGGCCTTTTTCAGTTTCAGTTGGCCTTCCTGTCCCCAATCCCCTCCCACATTGCTACTTAAAGGCAATAATAGTCCCACTCTTGTAGCTCACAGAGAGAGACTGGCAGCCATGGGGCTACGTTTAAGGCTCTGATGTTCTAGGGAAATCCTTCAGTGGGGACCCTAGGTGTCAGGGAAGGAAATTGTCACAACCTGGAGAGTGGTCAACCAGCTGTTTTGGTGAGCGCTCAGGATGCTCTTGGTGAGAAAGCTGGGTGTAGAGCAGGGGAACTGGGCGGGCCAGCCACCCCCAGGGAACCAGTGGGAGGGAGCCGCTGACCCAGGCGCCCGTCCTGTTTACCTGGCTTGGAGGGGACATGTGTGTGTATGTGAGCACACAGTGGGACTGCATCAGCTCACCCCCAAGCAGGTCCCCAGGGGCAGCACATGGTCAGGAAGAGCACGGCCCTCTCTCCAGCCCAGCTGGGGCACAGAACTCAGCCCCTCCATGTCCCATCCCTGCTTAGCAAGTGTGGCCACTTCTCCGTTCCCAGGGGCTGCGGGTCATCCCACTTGGCACCGACTGGTATCACTGGGACTCATCGCCCGGTTAGGAGGGGCTGGTTTCCATCCACCTTTCTCAATGTCTCTCAGTCATTCTCTCCCTCCCTCTCTCTCCACCCCAGTGTGTAACATCCAACATGTCTTCCTGTGTAAACACATCCCTGCCTGCCCTCCTCAGCTCCTACGTCCCTGTTATTCCACCTCTGACTCCTTAATGATGATAATAATGGTGCTGACAATAATAATAACAAATGCAGCTCCAGCTTATCAAAGCCTTCTATGTGCCCAGCACGAGACTAAGCATTTTAAGGATCATACAGCCCTGGGACATAGGTCTTATTGTTACCCTATTTAGAGACACTGAAACTGGGGCTCAGAGAAGACATAGGGACAAGGGCCAACCTCAACCCATCCCCATCCCAAGTCTCTTCCCCAGAATTTTCTGTCTTTTCAGTATTTCCTGCCTCCTCCTACTTTGTAAAGCCGCCTCGTTGTTCTCTGGATAGAATTGACTTGGGGTTTGCTCTGGGACTGTGTGTGAGAAGAGCAGGGGTTGCAGGAGTAAAGCTGGGCCCCAGGACTGGCAATGGAGAAGCCACAGGGCAGGAGGAGGGACCCTGGGTGGTGTAAAATCTCCTTCCCAGCACTTTTACACTGCTGGTGGGACTGCAAACTAATACAGCCTCTTTGGAAAGGAGCATGGAGAATCCTCAAAGAGCTCAAAGTAGACCTTCCATTTGATCTTGCAATCCCATTAGAAGAAAAAGTATCATTTTACCAGAAGGACATTTGTACTAGAATGTTTATTGCAGCTCAATTGCAATTTCACAATTGCAAAATCAATTCAAGTGCCCGTATCACATGAATGGATTAATAAACTATGGTATATGTATGCCGTGGAATGCTATTCAGCCATGAACAAGACAGAGACTTTATATCTTTTATTTTAACCTAGATGGAGTTGAAACACATTCTTCTCAGTAAAGTATCACAAGAATGGAAAAGCAAGTATCCAAGATACTCAATACTATTGTGAAGTCAGTAGACGAGCTAATATACACATAAGAGAAAAACTCAATTAATTCAAGTTGGGAGAAAATGGGAGGAAGGATTGATGTGCTGTCACCGAATGGGCACAATGTAGAGTACATGGCACACCTCCTGGGTGAGGACAACCACAACTTGGACTCTACCTAAGAAATGCAAACACTCTAACCTAATTGTCTGTACCCTCATATTAATCTTAACACCCTCCCCCCCAAAAAACTTCCAGAACTCTCGCCGGACTCTGCCTCCACAATGTTGTATACCTTCTCTCTCCTTTCTCTATTATTAAAAATTTTCTTTAAACTAGCTTACTTTTTTTTTTTTTTTTTTACATAAGAATAGTTTAGGCTTGGCGCCTATAGCTCAACCGGCTAAGGCGCCAGCCACGTACACCTAAGGTGGCGGGTTCGAATCCCCAGCCCGGACCCGCC